TGTGTGTTGCTTTGCTTTAGAAGGGCCACACCTGTTGCCGAAACCCAACGAGAAAACTACAATAAAAAGCTGCGACGCAGTTAAACAAAGCAGAAATCACGCTGCGGTCATAAAAGCAAAACGTGCTAATAAAAGCAAAAACAAAGACTCAACAAGACAGCATAAAGGAAAAGCACTAGGAACGACTGCAGTCGAAAGCAATGTCTTAACTTTTCGGCGTTCGCTCCATTTGGAATGCGAATAACTTCCGCAAGAAGAGCCTAAGACGAGTGAAGCGCATGAAGAGGGACGGTGAAATTGGGCCAAGGCAAACGACAGTAAATAACAAAACAGCCACGACCACGACCACGACGCTCTTCCTCTTGTCCAAGTAGTAGTGCGGCGCGTTTTAAAACGCCCGCGGCGAAACGAAGGCGGCTTCTGTTCTTTTGCCGCCATTTTGCGCGTTTGAGCTTTTTGTTTTGGTTCTGCACATTCGCCAATTATGTACACATGCTGTACGTACGTGTGTGTGTTTGTGTGCAGTAAAAGGAAAAAGCTTTTGCTTTCCTTGTGGCGCGCTGATCGCGTCATTTCAAACGTTACAGACGTTTTTAAAACGCACGCGTTTGCGCCGAGTTCACTGTACCCGTTACCTTTTACAGCTCGCATGTGTGTGTCTGTATTTGAGCTTTATTTTTTTTATAAGTAAATTCATACTTACTCATGTACATGTGAGCACAACACAGATACAGCTCGTACATCAAAAATGCGTTTAAATCTGGCAAACGTCAATGGAAATAAATGCATTATGTACATTATTTGTGAACCGCGACCGCTCCCTTTGCCAAAAAAAAACGGAATACAAAAACAAAAAAAAAAAAAGAACAACAAGCGAGAACAGCGAAAACGATTTGTTGTCGTCGCCGCTCCCTTCTCGCCATTCCATTAATAAAGCGAAATGCTGCATCCGCCTTTGTTGCTAATGTTGTTGTTGTTGTTGATTTGCACGCATTATAAAAATGTCATTAACATGTCAACGGGTTGCAAAGTTCGAAATGTGCTTTTTGGTTTGGAGCGAATTTGATATACTCTAAAATGTATAGCGATAAATATTATGGCGAGTATGCCAGATAAACATGTGTAGCGTATGCCTGTATGTGTTCATGTGTGTGTATTTGCATTTGTATAAACAGACAACGAGGCGAATTCCCACAAGTATTTCCGATTCATAGGATCAGTTGTGTTGTTGCTTATGCAAAAGTCCATCAACAACAGCGGGCCATATTTAAAGGCCAGTCAAAAATTTTAAACAAAAACAACCAAAACCGACCAGCGGAGGCGTCAGCAGCGACGCGACGCAACGAAGTCAATGATCGCCGTTGCTGCTGCTCTTGCTCTTGCTGTCGCTGTCAATGTTGTTGTTGTTGCTGTCATAATTAAACGCGACAAATACAAATACAATTTGAAGAAAAGAAAAAAAGAGCCGCCGCCGTCGCCGACGTCGTCGCCAGGCCAGCGCCAGCCGTAAATACAACAACAATAAGAGGCAGAACAATAAATTCTTCAATTAACATTTCGAGCCAGGTAAAAAGCATGAGCGTAAGAGAGAGAGAGAGAGAGAAAGAGAGTGAGCGACAGCGAGCAAGAGAGGGTGGCACGGCGAAAATTTCTGCGCGCGCGTGTGCGTATGTATTTGTGTGTTTATACATATATGCTTGTATGTTTATGTGAGAGAAGAGGCATTCAAATAGAGAGAATGCGCGAATGAGACGTGTGTGTGGGACTGTGTGAGTGCGAGTGTGCCAGGATCATTTGCATTTGAGGCGACGCAAGGTGTCGCTAAAACTGATTATAATGCATTTACACATACACACACAAGACAAAATATGCATATGTATGTGTGTGCACAACAAGAACAAAGTTGATCTTGTTGTTGCTCAAAAAGTGGGCACGTCGCGCATATTTTAGCATGTTATTGTTGTGCTTGCATAGATTCCCGTAACGGCAGATAAAAACTGAAATAAATTTCAGCTCTTTGCAGGGAGCTCGCACTTGTTGTTTTGTTGGTGCCGACGTCGACGCTGACGTCGTTGCTGCTGTTCTACATATTGTTTTTGTAGTTGGAGCTACAGCCGCGTGCCTGCTGGCGTTAGTCATAGAGAACGCCGGCGTCGACGTCAGCGTAAGCGTTAGCGTCTGCCTCTGCGTCGAGCGGCATGCAGGCAAAGCAGCCAAGAAGACGACAACGCGCTGTGAGTGATCTATGAACCAGCAAAGCGAACGGAACGGCACGAAATTACACGGTGAGCAGCAGCGGTCAGCAGTAGCGGAAAGTAGCTGCGACAGCTAAGGGTCTTCCCCCACCCACCCAATTGGCCAATTCGTAAAACGCACGAGCCCATTTTCAAATTGGCGCCACAAAAGGTGTTTGCGATATTTCGCTGGACATTGACGCGAGCGACCACCAAACGCGATTAGTCACAATATCAGCAACAACAACAACAACAGCTTGGTTATTGTTGTTGTTGCTGTTGGTATTTTTTGAGCTGTGCATTTTTTGACAATTTCTCGCTCGCGTTTTTAGCCTGGCGGCGCAGTTTAAGCCCAGAACCCGGCCAGAGCAGAGCAGAGCCCAAAAGGCGGCCGTAAACGAAACGAGGCAAATTGAAACGATCACGAGCCGAAACGCAAAAACCGAAGCGGAGCGAAGCAAGCGAACAATCGTCGCCGTCTTCAACACATTCGCTGGCTGTGTCCATGTCTCGTTCGCTGTGTAAGCAAATGTGTGTGCGTGTGTGTGTCGGCGCTGTGTTTGTGTATGTGTGTGAGTGCTGCTTTGCCTGCTGAGCGCAGGTTTATCAAAATTCGATTTTCATTTTGTGCTTTAATACAATTTGTGCCTTGCTGCCGTGTGGAAGTGGCAGGAGATGCCGACGCAAAGTAAATAAAATCGAAGTTAGAAAAGAAGCGAATAGAAAACACAGAAACACAGCGAAACGAGTGCAAGACATGCGGGCAAATAAAAATACAAATAAAATCAAGCAAAAGTGGAAACTTATTAAAAATAATAAACAAACTGCGTCTGCGTTCTGACTTCCAGCCTGAACGCCTGTTGTGTCTGTGCCTGTGTATGTGTGCTTTGTGCTTGCGTGTGTGTGTGTACGCTTGTATGTTTATAGCAAAGAATCACGTAATTTAATCCGTGCGCGCAGCGGAGGAGTCGTTAAAAGCAAATGAAAACACAAGCGTAGCAATTGAACAGCTTATGTTATCCACCCCACTCGGTGCCCCTCCGATCAGCTGCCTACCCTTGCTCAACATTTGTTGCAGTTGCAGTTGCTTCGCCTGTCGCTTGTTTGTTTGGTGTTTGTTTACGCGCCGTTTACCGCTACTCGTTTATGTAACCGTTACCATTTGCCCGACACGTGTGCGCCTCCACAGGCAGCAGGCACCGAACCGACGCGGGGCCAAGGCGGCAAGGCGTGGCCAGGCGCATATGCAAATTATTGAGCAAAAACAAAAGAGTGAAAAATAATCATAAAAATAAGTTAAAGAAACATGCAAAATTAAATAAAATAAAATCAACGGGATGAATAAAAATGAATTTACATATTGCGCGCACAACTAAAAAGTTCAGATACTCGCATTTACACGCACACACACACACGCATTGCATATGTGCATATGTGAATGTGTATATTGTGTGTGCATATATTTGTATAAAGTGTAGTGTAATAATAAGCGAGTCAAGTGAAAAGTTGAGTCATCGCAACTTTATTTTATAATAAATATATA